TGGATCAAGACGGACGATTACTCAATTTTTACGGAGAGGAGATCACCATTAGATTGCATATACGAAGACGACAACGATAAAGTGATATGCTTTTGAACGAGTAGGTGAAACAGACTAGAGACATTTTTACCAGAAGGACGTCAGCGATCAAAAACATTCGATCATCTAGTAGAAAGAAACTCACTGCATCAAACGTTAAGTTTTTACAATTCTTGGGCTTTATCGTACGAAATATCTGAGATGGCTGACATCTTGAATATTGGAGGAGAGCCAATCTTTTTACGATCGCAATCAGGATTGAGACTCGCACGTACAATCCGTACGTCAATACCACGTTTGGACATAGCGATGAGATAAGGATACCCATACAGCAGCAGGATTTATACACGCTACCTTGTGAAAGCTTTCTCAACATTGAAGGAAGATTGACTTCAAAAGAAGAAAATGCAGATCGGCAGCCAACGCTTGGAATTAATTGCGTGTCGTTCATGTTTGATGAAATTCGATATGAACTCAATAGTACTGAAATCGACCGTAACAGGAACGTTGGAATGACTAGTCTTATGAAGGGCTATGCATCATATTCAGGTGACTTCGCACATTATATGGAGAATGCCGGATTTCCGCATCCGGTGTTTGATCAGACCGTGAAAAGACTAATAACACGTGATGGATACTTTAATTTTTACGTACCGTTAGGCATGTTGTTGGGCTTTTGCGAAGATTACAAACATGTAGTAATTAACGCACGTCATGAATTGATTTTGATACGAGCGCGCAACGACAACAACTACATTGTGAGAGATCCGGCGACAGAGCCGAAACTTGAATTGTTCAAGATACCGTGGCGAATGCCTCACATTACGTTGAATGAAGTCAATAAACTATCCATGTTGTGTGCTTTGGTGAGCGGACGATATCTGAGTATGAGTTTCCGTTCATGGGATCTGTACGAGTATCCTCTATTGCCGAGCACGACGAAGCACTCGTGGGCTATCAAGACGGCTACTCAGCTCGAAAAGCTGCGATATGTCATCTTTGCTCTGCAGACTAATAGAAAAAATAACATGGCAACACATAAAACTTACCTCGACAATTGTAAATTAACCAACGTGAAACTCTATCTGAACTCTAAATTTTTTCCATACGATAATCTGAATCTGGACTTCGACAAACGCAGAACCGCTATTTTGTACGATATGTTTGTACGTTTCCGTACATCTTGCTATTAAATTTCAAAAGAAAGTAGCGAAACGTTATTCAAGACAGATTCTTTTAGGAATCTTTTTCCTCTAGTAATCATTGACTGCTCGCGACAAAACGAGTCCGTTAAGAGTGGCACCGTGGATGTGTGATTAGAATTTGAATTCAAAGAAAATGTACCAGCGAATACTACCGCCTATTGTCTTATCATAGATGACCGCGTGATCGAATATAGTCCATTATCCAACGTAGTACGCAAGATTACGTAAATTATCGTCACCAAAAGAAAAAATAACCTCTTCCCTCTTTTCAATATAATGAATAAAAAGCCAAAATTTTGCACTCGAGCAAAGTCTCGAAAAGTCATTCACCATGACTATACCAACGTTCGTGGATCTGCAAGGATTTATCATTGGAAAGAAATTTATCGTGAAGGAAGTGGCGGTGTTGAAAAAAGGAGCTATTCTTTCTCATTATACTTTTACATGCCCCATGGAATTTCTTGACAAAATCAGAAAAGTATTGCGCTTCCTGGCTGAGTGCGTATCACCATGGATTGCAATGGGAAGATGAGATGATACCGTACAGCACGGTGAAACGCCTGATTACGATGGCTGTAATTGGTGCGGAAGAGAATGATGATAATAAGTCTCTTGTATACGTTAAAGGACATGAAAAATGCCAATGACTTGCTGATATACTCGATAGCGACGACTTGACCATTGAGACCCTCGATGCTGATTACGAAGATATAGATTCTTTACGAAATCTGAATATTACTAATATTATGCGATGTGGAAATCATGTTAAGAATTGTCCGTTACAGAATGTATTTAAAATATACAATTGGTGGTTGCAACGCCAAAAAAGAAATGTATCAAGTTTAAAATAAAATACGAGATTTTTTTAAAATATATTATATAATATGTTTTAATTTTTTCCCTTTCCTTTCCTTGTAGTTAAGAATTAGTTAATAATGATGATTTAGTAGTATGATGATTTAGTAGATGATTCAATGAGTATTAAACTAATTGATAAGAAAACGCATTTTTAATTACATTAATAAAAAAATTATTATAATTGCTAAGTCATATTTCATAAATATCTATTTAATAAAATCGCGTGCGAAAGAAGAAAAGAGAACATAAGAAAGAATACAAGGAGGAAAGGGAGGAAGAGAGAGCGTGAATACTATAGTATGTATAGGGCCGCAACGGATGGGACAGAGAGAACTGCATCCTACAACGGGTGGGAGAGAGAGCGCGAATACTATTGTAAGTATAGGGCCGACGGGTGGGACAGAGAGAACTGTGTCCTACAATAAGTGGGAGAGAGAAGATAATAGATTGGAGAGAGAAAGAACGAACTCCCTTTCCCCGGTGACGCGCTTTCCTCTCCCCCTCTTCGTGACGTCATCCCCTCCCTGACTCCCTCACGCACGCACGCACGCACGCACGCACGCACATACACACACATACACACCGCATATACGTATATGCACTAACACATAGTGGATTAGAATTGGCTTAGCTATTCTACTGAAACGGTTTGCCATTTTCATCAACAGTTTTAAACTCCGCTTTTGTCAAAATTTCAATAAGTTTCTCGCGATCATACACATCGCAGTTATTAGACAATAAACAAGACGCTAGTATGTGGAAAGCAAATGAGGCACAAAATTTAATGAGGAACGGCGATCCTATTCCACCAATACTATATAGTACCACAGTGCTATGAAAAGCTAAGCAACAGGAATTAGATCGTTGTCTCGAATTAAAACATTGTGATCCAATCCTTAATTTAAATATAGCAAAATACGAATCTCTGGCAGGCGTTATTCTTAGTATAGGACTTGACCCATTTTTTTACATATATAGGACAGAAGAATAAAGATTGTTTTACAAAACTATTACTAATAAAAACTCAAGCTTTTTAACTGTTGATGCCACAGGCAGTTTTGCGAAAAAAATTAAGCTCATTAATAATGAAAAAGGTCCTCATACATAGTCCTCATACTTATACCCATGCGTATTAGTAACGGAAACATCTAGCTGTTCAGTCTTTCAAATGGTGTCGACGAAACAAGATGCTTCTACGATTACTTATTTCTTCTTGTCAATTTTAGCGGATGGTGCACCTTCACCACAAATGATAGTTATTGATTTTAGCAAGGCTCTTCTTATGGCTGTTATAAAAGCATTTGCAAATTGTGCAGATACATATACTTATTTGGAAATATTATACAACATCATTGTTTTAGAAAAAAACGAAAAATTGCCTAGTTGTTATGTAAGGTTAAACGTTAATCATTTTATTGGTATGGTTGCAAGATGGGACTGCCTTCACGGTAAAGTGCTAAAAGTTCGGCAATTTTATATACGAAGCATTGGTCATATTTATAAAATGAGCGATGTGAGACATATAAAATCTTTATTAACATCTATAATGGTCGTCGCTTTAAGTGAAGATATAGGCTGTAACAAAAATAACGACATTATTCCATCAGAATATCACTTGAAATCGGTAAACGACGTCATCAAAGAGACATTAATCGAAGATCCCATCGATGAAACAGAGAGCCCAGAGGAAACACTATTCGAGAATTCAGAAAACGGTTGGACGGAATGTGTTTTGTAGGTTTCAGTACAATACAAATGAGAATGCACTTGCACTGTCTTTTCGTTTATTTTATTATATAATTGTACATAAGTAAAGTCTTATTCACGCGCACGTGAAAACTATGTTAGTATGTCACGGTGTATTACACTGTTTATCGTTTGTAATCCGTTAAATGCACTATAATATGACGAATAACGTTGCATACACGATATCTTGACCACAAGGTTCATTTAGTTCTATTCTAGTTCGACAACGCCTGGGGGCTGTTGCCCTGAGTCGAACTATAACGGGACGTTTAAGGGGCTAATGCCCAATTTCTTTTGCGGATGCGCGACCACGCTTAGAGGCTGTGCCTTGAGTCGCGTACGATTCGGACACTCCCAATAACGCCTTTAGGTTTTCCTTTATTCGCGATAACCATGAAATCCGACGTGTCTTCTAGAGATCTCTGTACGCAACTGGCTCTCCTACTTATTTTTCTGCCCGGCTCCCAACGCACGCGACCCCCGAATAGCCTCGGTCAGCCTTCTGATTGGCCGTCGATGGTTTAGAGAGACCGTCGATCGCCGACGAAGACAAAGCGATAAGCGCGGCATTTTCCGCTAGGATCGCCGGGGCTGACGATTCTTTGTATTGCCGCACTCACTGTTTGACTTGTTTTTAAATATGTACATAGTTTTTATGTACAGCCGTCGCGAAATATAATATATGTGTGTACGTGGATGTGTCCGAACCTTTCAATCATCCGTTTACGCATTTCGTCGTGCACGACATAAAGAGACCTTGCCGCTTAACAGAATGGGCAAAATGTATTATGGTGTCGGAAAAATCTGTTGCAGCGGAATCAACATCTGGTTCTGTTGTAAATGCATTTTATAATCCACAAATTGCAATGAAATTAAAAAATTTAATTTCTTATCTACCCTTGTGGACTGATATCATGCTTTCGCATTTTCAGTGTGCTAAAATAACAGCTACATCTTCAGCTGCTGAAGCAGCATTCGCAGATTTAAAACATCGGGTATTTAAAGGTGAATTGCCAATGCGAATTGATAAATTTGTTATCAAACATGTAGAATATCTACAAGGCAAGACATTGTTAGCACATGCTAGTAGTATGTGGGCAGCCATGGGGCGTCACAACAAACCCCCTCCACTCTACTCTGGCGTCAAAACAAACCCCCTCTTCCCCCCCGCCGAGCTGTCAAAATAAACCCCCTCCACGCCTCCCCAGACGTCATGGGCGTGGCCTAGACGGGTCCGTCTGGAACAGTGGGGACTCTGATTGGGTGGAGACGAAAAAAGGGGATAATGAGGTAATTAAATAGAGCATTCTGATTGGTTCGCTCCATGGCTGCCCACGCTACGATTGGTGAGGGAGAGGTCACGTTGAGAAAGAGAGAGTGAGAGTGAAAATGGGAAAGCCGAGGAAAATAGGTCTCCGAGACATTTTTTTTGTCAGGGGAGAGGGGAAAGGTACGGATATGAATACCATGAAACTCTTTACTCTGAAGGTCGTTTTTTGCTAACGTGACCTTTGTCATCGACGTACCCACGTTTATTATTTATGGGTACTTTTTTACGAACATTTTCGAGACTCTCGCTTTCACTTGGGAGAAAGGCTAAGTAAAACAGGAATGAACATGTTCAACTGACGAGTCGTCTCCGGTGTGATGATTCACTCGCTCGAATAAGAGTATGATTTTTTTTTATGATGTATGACAGTGATTTTAAGAAAGGTGTATTGTACATCTTGTACTTTATTTTAAAGTCTATATTATATATATAACATGGAAATACGCAGAGAAGAAAGTTGGTTATTAGAGGGTATGAATGATTAAGAAACGAGGGTTTATGTTATACAAAAATGTATTTATTGATACAAATTCTTTTTTTCAAAGAAGAAGAAATACATAGTTCACATGGGAATAAACTAAAAAAGTTTTTAGAAAAATTAATCGAAAGATTCCCGCTTCGTGAGAATTATATGAATAATTTCGTTATATCTTAATGAAGTTAATTCCAAAAATATTATATTGAAATACATATCCAGAAAAGTTAAGTCGTTAATTTGTGTACGTACATTACGCTCTATATCTTCGTAATTACCTCGTAACGTTAATTTTATAATTTCCTGATTAATAAAACTTACAGGAAGTTTCAGTTCGATTTCTTGAATTAAGTATAGAGCACACTTATTAACATTATCGGATAGTGATTCTAATTGTTTTAAACGTGCATCGATGCACTTTACAATGCTTTGCAGTCCGAGGAAGGTAGTTTTCTGCATTACAATTGCCGCCGTGTATGTTCTTCGTTTCTTCGCTGGTGGAGTTGAATCGAGCGCGTCCTCTTCTTTCGGAAGGTTTTCCTTGGAATTTTCCTCTTCTTCTTTACAGGCTAACAATATGGATTTTGCTCCGTAAGACGTGGTAAAGTTGATGGTGTAATTTTTTATAATAACAAAGTTAGGTTTCACTCTGTTATCGCTGGTTAAATACTCGTTCATGAGTCCAAGCTGTTCTTGAAATAGTTGCCAGCACTCGGTGTCGAAATAAATTCCATCCGCGTTGTGTCCGGTTAATTTTACAAGAGGTTTGAAGATTCCTTTGTTCGTTCTTTGCAATCCTACATGAATCGTCTTCGTATGAGAATTGTTAAGACCATACGATGTTGTTAACAACATATGAAATCGAGCGTTTCTTCTCTCGTCATCGTCGTTACGTATCTTAGAATCGGGGATGGAGTGCAGTCCCATGCTCGAATTATTAGTATTTTTTGGACTGGCCATTGTTCTTACACCACAGTAATACCAAATTCAAGTGAAACTAAGATGGCAATCAAAAACACAAGAAGCACAGTACTTGTTTGCTTTCGAAGCTGAAGCTGCGGACGACGAGACTCGAATGAAACGGATTTTCGATAGCACCGTCGACATTGTTTCCCTCTCCAGCGCTACATAATCAAATTATTCTGCGCGCGCAGATGAAAAAAAAATGAAAAAACATAAATTTTCTCTAAATTTTTCTTAAAAATTTAAAATAATCTATACAACATAGAAGTCGGGAAGGAAGAGGAACGAGATAAAATGAGAACGAACAGGAACGAACAGGTTTTACGATTCCTCTCCTGCTTTTTTATAAAATAACATTGAAAGGAATTTGACAATTCGAAAAGAGAAAATTCTTTCTCAATAAACGGTTTTACGATTCCTTTCCTGCTTTTTATAAAATAACACTGGAAGGACATGACAAATGGATTTGACAAACCGAAAAAAGAAAAAAAATTCTTTCTCAATAATTCATAAGGAAAAAAAGAATTGGATTAGCATGGGGAAGTTTTTATCGAATAAGAAATACTACATCAATAAGCAACAAATTTAAAAAAAAAACAAATAAATCGTCCTCGATTTAAAAAGTAAATTTACGATTGCGTTTGTTGGTTTTTAAAAAATTTATTAATGTTTAAAGGAGACAAAGGTACGACAAAAAATGTTAAATCTGGTTGAGTAACGACATTGCAAAAAAAATTTTTTATCTTTTTTTCTAAAACTTTTGTGTCTAGTCTAAAGAAAAGAACTAACGTGATATAGTGAAATTTATAGAAAATAAAAATGAAATATTAGCTATATTGATAAACGTGAGAAAAGTTTTAAGCGAAGGGAGTTATGTTTGTCATGATTTTTTTTCTTCATGACGAAGCAAATCCTGAAGAAGGAAAAACTAACAAAAGTCAAGTAATATTGTTGGTCAAGCGAGTTGTATGAATTTCCATTGTATCTTTTTTTGCTGAAAGGTTTAATGTTTATCAGTCGTAGACTAATATGGCGTGAGAATCCTTTCAAGTAAGAAGTTGCAAAAAAATCAGAAGGAAAAATTTGAAACGCACGAATTTCACTGTAACAATAAAATTTTCTAGCGTGACAAAAAAACTTTTCCGGATAATAGTAAAAGCATGAACTAAAAGGGTTTATCAGAGTAAATACGTAGGATACCTATGCGTTTCGTGAGAAGGGATATCACCACGAGTATAAATAGTATGCAATGATCAAGCTAAAGTTTAGTCCTACGTTCAGAGTTTGAAATGGATTATCTTTGCGTCGACTATTTGCGAGTTTAATTCCATTTTTAAAAAATGTCACTTCGCGAGTTACTTGGTAAATTTTTTATCGTGGCTAGCAACTTAAATAAAAAATTAGTTGCTGCCGATTATCTGACAAAGTTGTCAGATAATAACGAGAAAAATTATTGCCTTTTTGGAAATTTTGTGGGTGAATGCTCCAGTACGCTAATGTGCATTATGCACAAACTAGGGCATTGCGGTGGTGACGAGAGATTAAAAAATATAATCACTCGTCATCTGGAAATACGCGAGTGCTTTGGTCATGAGGAGGATGACGCAGGGGGTCACATAGCTGATTTCAAGCGACGCACTGGACTAAGAGGTAAGAAGTAATAATTTTTAAAATAAAAGCGAATATATATATTAGCATTCCAATATATTCCAATATATTAGCATAAAATTTTATTTTATAATTAAATTATAATATTTATTTCATAGAATCGAACTGTATTGTAGGACGGGCAATACCGCATCGCAGGGGGCGATCAGTAGGACGGCTTAGTTTAAGACGGCGTTTCCCCGCGAGAGAAGAAGAGGAGGGAGTACCAGCGAGTAAGTTTTGGGGAAATAAATATTAACTAATCGTTTATAGAAACATCGATTATTAAAATATTTTATTGTTTTTTAGGAAGAGCACGAACCGGAGGAAAATAATGCTCCGCCTTTGCGTGATATTCCTGTCATCGTAATTGGTAAGTATAATATTATATTTTACAAATAGTCGAGAAATCAAGTATATAGATGTAATACGATAAAGAATAAAATCAATTTTGTTTTAGATGATAATGATGATGATGATGCTAATGATGACAACGACGAAGGGAACAGTGAATTGAGTCCGTCCGATTCGATTCGTGCACCGCTCTCTCAGGGTTTCACCATTTCTATAACGTGTA